TTTCTAAACTAAGCTTCATGAAAGGAGGTCGTCACTTCGTCCCAAAACATGCGCGGTTTTAGGCTCAAGGACCTACTCTACGGTTTCAGCCGGGAGGGGTCTGCATAGAAGGCCTTGTTGATTGGCAAGCGGTGAACAACAAGTTGCTCAAAGGGGCCACGTAGCTGTACAGTATGTGCTTGGGCCCTAGAGTAGTTATACAAGGACCCTTTTGGGACCTAAGCAAATACTAAGTAGCTACATGGCCCTGAGCCCTTAGCAATAAACCCTAAACCCTAAGCCCGAAACCCTAGAGATAGTAGGGTAGTTCCAAAGATTAAGGTTTAGGATTTAAAAAGGGTTTAGGGTAGTTCTCAAATTTAGAGTCCCACTTTGGTCCTGCACCCCCCAAAAAAATATTAGGTGCCGTCATATAATCTATAACCCCAAAAAAACAACATAATTTTGAGAACAACCCAGGTCAACTTCCAAACACAAAGTATTCAGAGGGCAACCATTTTTAGGCTTCCACGGTACCAATGTTCATTGGGAGGACCCCGAATAAGCCCTAAATCAAGCGCTGCGAGTCACCAATCCTTGCATGTTCGATCGCCAGTCTCACCACACTTCATGGCAGTAATACCGGACAGCTCGTCTAAGCTGATGAAGTCCTGTGGGTTCAGCTGATACTGTAGGAATGGGCAAGAAAATGCAGAGTAAAATCATGTAGGGTTTCGAATTCGGGGGCTCCGAAGGTGGGATGAAGCTAGGTGGGTTGAAGGTTCCCTGTTATGATTGTGGATTCCATTCTGTTGGGGCTTGGTTCCTAAACCCCACCTTCTCTTGCCTCACCTTTCGAACCATCTGAGATAGGCTTTGGCATTTTAGGCTCCGGCATCCCGAGATAAGTTTGGGAACATGCGTCAGCAAGTGAGCAGTATCGGCTCACCTTTAAGGTAGAACCGATCTTAGGGTTGAGGGCTTAGGGCATAAAACCCTACACCCTAAATCCTCAAGCCTAGGGCCTATGGGGCTTAGGGTTGTAGGTAGATCGATGACCTTGAAAACTTCCGAGCCCCTCCTTTGCAAGAGGAAGATCCATTCGCTATGCTCCAAAGCATCTGGACTGCCGTTGGAGGACCCCAACATGGCACCCACTGCTTGGTGATACCCTAAACCCTAAAGCCCCAGAACCGCATGGACTGGGAAAAGGCCTTGGCATGTCGCGAAGATTTCGGGTAGTGGAGTCCATTAGGTTGGACCAAGGCTCCTCTTGACATATAGACCCCCCTTCAGCAAGTAGAACATGGGGTATATGGGGATCTTATTATAATATACCCAAAGTCATATTCTATCTACTTAAGGGGGACTATAGTTCTATGTCTGAGAAACACTGTCTGCGATGCCGAGTCTAGTTTTGGAGGCGCCCGCACCCAGACCCCCTAAAGGAATCAACAATGGGACCCCTTAATGATCCCCTAGGCTCCCCTAGTAAGGGTCCATGCTTTGGAGCCCTAAACTCCTGAACCCTAAACGCGCATGCCTGAATAGGGAAGGAATCGGCCAGGCGTTGCTTCATGGCATGAAGCTTCTCACCCCCCCAGTCGATGAGACACAAACCATAGTCTAAACTCCTAGTATCCCCCGTAGTAACCCCTACAATTATACAGGGTTTAGGGTTTAGGATTTAGGGTCTAAACTCCTAGTATTCCCCTTAATAACCCCTATAATTCTCCCGAATTTAATCCCTTACATAGCCCGTTTGTATGGAGTTTAGACTATTACTCACGTAGGGGACCAGTATAGGGGATGTTAAGGGATACTAGGAGTTTAGACTATTGCTCACATGAAGATATGTCACCTGTCCTTCTCCTTCAGGTCGTCGTACGAATACCTTGGCTAGCTGCAGCAAGCGGCAACTCTGCATTCTGCACGTAAAGCTTACAGAAAACCTCATATCTTGCGTGTAACAGTTGGATAATAATTAAAAGATGGTTATATATAGCCCTTTAATACCTTGATAGGACCCCTAATATAGACTGTTACTGGGGGGGCAGTACCCAACTCATATCTTAACATATATGAAATTCTCCAAAAGTATGACAGATGTGTTTGGGCTCTCAGAAACTGGATTCTTCAGGAACGCTGGGCGTATTAGTACAGAGAGAGTTTAAGGGGATTGCTATGGGGGGGGTGTAAAATTTGAGAAAGTACCATGACATGCAATTCAGGACCCCGCTCGTCTGTCTCAGGGATCTTCATAGCAGGAAATCAAAAACAATCTGCTCCCTAAACCCTAAACCCTAAACCCTGTCAACTTCCCTGCAATTGCTGTCGCTCGGCCGGGACCCTTCACGCATCCAATTCTACTGGAGCTTGGAAAGGACATGTGAGCTATAGTCAAAACTCCTTAAAGGGGGATTATATAGGGGACTACTATAGTTATTAAGGGGAATACTAGGAGTTTAGATTATGGCTCATGTAATACCATCTGAAGAGTAGCTGACAAGCACCAATAGAGCCTTTGCAACACTGAGGGTCAATTTAAGCCAAGTTCGTGAGAACCTTAACTTCCAAACCCTAAACCCTTGCCCTCAGGCTCAAAATAGCCTAAAAGCCTAATATAGTATGGTCTTTGGGCCCAAAAACCTTATATACGATCAGTCCTTAGATTCTTAGGGTTAGCCAGGTGGCACACAACCTGGCTTGCCAGTTGGAGGCTTCTTCGAGTCTTTGCAGAGTCCGCCCAAAACGGGAGTCTGGCAGGAGGCTGCTTGCAAATGATCAGTCTATAGTCCCCCCTAAGTAGATAGAATATGGGGTATATGGGAATCTTTTTTTAATATACCCAAAGCCATATTCTATCTACTCAAGGGGGACTATACTTGGTGGTTATGCAGCAAGCAAGGAGGGCTTCTGAGACCTGAATCTAATCTTTGCTGACGCTTGCCGACCATGGCATCCGCTGAGATACGTCGGCTAATCACATGATACTGAGCAGTATGCGTGCGATCTTGTGGCGACCACGCTTTGGCTTCGTATAAGTCTAGAAGAGACTTACTGGTTGCACTTATCCTCAAGACTGAACAGGCTCCCATTTTCAGAACTAACAGTCATTCCCTACTAGCAGCCAGCAAGAAGCATGCACCAATGATAAGTCTGAATCCTATGATGTAGAAACCAAATTAATTGCCAATATTATGGTCCCAGATCTCTTGTAAAGTCACGGTACAAGCTCTCTCAAACAGACCTGAACATGCTACTCGTAAGCAGTTAAGACTTGATATAACTAGAATATGGGGTATCTTAAGTAGACTTCAACATGATATTGGTAAGATTTGGGAACCAGTATTAGGGTTGGAGGTTCAAAGTCTAGGATTGAGAGGGCATCTGCCTGGGGTGGTCCAAAAATTAGGCTTGTACGGTTTATAAAGGGTATACATATATGTATATATGGCCGCAAACCCTAAGCCCTAAGCCACATACATATATATATATATACACATACACACAGGCAGATATGCAGGGTTATGCAGGGTTCAAGGTTTCCAAAACTTAGCGTCCGGTTCTGGCGGTCCCTGCAATCAGGAGCATAGTGCTTTGGGTTTAGGGTTTAGGGTTTAGGGGGCCGGGGAGGTTTAGGGTGGCACAGGTGATTTGATTTGTGGAAACCTCATTTGTCAATACGGGTATACCTTTAAGCACTGAAGATACACGAGTGCCATGCTATGTGGTCATGCGATGGAAAACTTCTGAAAAAAACTCGTCGACACCCTACACCCTAAACACTAAAAACCCTAAACCCTTAACCTTCAAGCGGCTTCCGTCCTTCGGTGAGTGGGTGAAAGGTCATGCCCCTATGTCAACCCAATGTCCAATTCATTTTCCAATTTAGGCTCTTAGGGTTTAGGGTTTAGTGTTTAGGGTTTCTCCAGTATTGGTAGCTAATGTTGCACGCCTTTGAATCCTTAAACCCTGAGCCCTAAACCTTTCATGTGTTTTGGCAGCCCCTGATTCAGTTTCAGGCTGGTGTTTGGAAATCCTTGTTTGATGTTTCTGGGTTTGGGGCCCTAAAAATTAAGGCAAGCAGCACATTTTGTGGCTGCAAGAAAAGGATTTGAAAGGCAGCCCTTTTACAATCCTGCTCCAATTCAGCCCTCAGAACGAATACTAAATCCTAAGCCGGAAGCCGACCAGTTTTTAGGTAAAACCCTTATTCGAAACCTTCAAAATCACAGCCCAAATCATGTGGGCAAAGGGGGTAGTCCAGCAGACCCCTGGGCTTTGAATTCTTTAATCTGTCATCGCTGGACTCCTGCAAGTTTTGGCCCAAACACTATGGCTTTTTAAACCAATCCCCAAAGACCACAAAACCGCGGGAGGTTTTGAGAATCCTCCCAATCGAAGATGCCTAGTTCGAAGGGGCAAGTTTAAAGAAACTGCAACATTATTTGGGCCCTGAACCTGATGTAACCCCTTGCACAAACCCAACATAGACCCTGCAATAGGACTCCAATGCCCAACCTGCCCCATATCATGTCTACCTTCAATCTATGTCAGTCTGAACTAGTAGAAAGCACGCTGCGCAAGTCTTGGTGTTCGACTACACTTCCGCTTTAGGGTTTAAGCCTTAGGTAACGCCCCGCCCCCACCCACCCACGAATAGTGACCACATAGGATGTTGGAACTATATTAAGGTCCTCATTTTCCTTGTTATGCCATTTGTTGTGGGCCCTCACCCAAAGCATACCCCTAAGAGCGCCGTATTCCTTGTTATCAAGACCCCACCCCCGGTGCTAATGCGCAGAAGCCGTATTACATGTTGCACTTGTTGCTTCTTTGTCCTCTCAGATCTCACATGACTCCCGGTACCCAAGCTCTTATGTAATTCCCCATTTTCAGGGGGAGCATTCAGTTGCTCATGTTAGGCATCGAAACACGTTTCAGGGCGCAAGGCTCTAGCTTCGGCATTACAACCCCGTCAACTTTTTCCTCATCACTTCTGTGGCTGCAGGATCCACTCAGGGGGCGGTGGCTGGAGAGGGAGCTGGACCCGACGGAGGAGCCTGACAATGGGATCTGAGGGGGTTGAAAGTGGGCATGTGGATTGAGGAGGCTTCCCAAATTCACCTTTTGATATATAATACATCGGGGCCTGTATTAGGGCACAGTATTTATAGAAGCCGCAACTTACTGTGCTCATCAGGGCCCCCCCTCATCCATAATCCGAAGCCCTGAACCCTTAACCCTACCTTCCGCAGTCAAGTGCTTAGGACTCTGGCGCATGATGCGCGCGTGCGGTATTTTTTCTGATGACTATAGGTGTACTAGCGTTCAGCATCGGCATGTTGGGGGGCTTTCATACCCTTTGATGCCCTTGGGGCCCCTTTGTGCAACAAGCAGATAGATGCCAGCTAGTCTAAACTCCTAGTATCCTCCTTGATAACCCCTATAATACTCGCCTAGGAGTCCAGACCCTGAACCCAAAATTCCAAAACCCTATATAAGCCCTTGGAGGAGTTTAGGCCCTAAACCCTAAAACCCTGTATATCCCCCTTTAAGGAGTTTAGATTATAGCTCATGTAGAGGGACCCCTACCTTTTGGAAACACGAGGTGACCTGATAAGACTGCCCTACTAGTATTTGAAAGGATGGTGCCCAAGTAAGATTACAGTCCGCCTTAAGTAGACAGAACATGGCGGGGGGTCTTTTTATAACTATAGCATATCCAAAACCATATTCTATCTACTTAAGGGGGACTATAGCCAGTTCGGGGTTTGGGGATGGTCCGTGGAACCCAAGTAAGATTAACATCTTCTCATACATTCCGACACCCCCAAGGAGAATGACATCTAACTCTCTTTACCCTAAACCCTAAGCCCTCAACTCCCTATGAATTTCTGAGTGCCTCACCTGTGCTGCAGGATCTTGCCCAGAAGGGGCAACCATCTCCTAAGCTATATTTGAAGGTTTCTCAAAAAAAGGGAGGGCTAGGTATAGGGTTTGGGCTTAGGGATTAGGAATTAGGGTTTCTCAAAGCAGGGGGGGGCTAGGTATCACCGGCTCATAGCGCAGATTAAGAACTGACAGGTCCAGGTGGAGTATATATGCTATTAGCAGGATAGCCTACGACATTATACATACGGATGGGGGCAATACTTATCGCAGGAACCAACAACACAGAATCATGGTCATTGGAGCTCTAATCTAAGATCCTTGCAGTGGGTTATATAGGGGACTACTGTAGGGGTTATTAAGGGGTAACAGGTACACCTTAGACCCTGAACCACCCCCTAGAAGCTAAACCTAACGCTGCCAGAACACTGCGCCCGTTGCGGCCGGACCCGGCATAGGCTGCCTGGACAAAGTCTTCAGGGTTTCGGGCTTAGGGTATTGAACCCTAGAACCTTTCAACCCTCAACCCGCTAGGTTTTAAATTTCAAGGTTTAGGCTAGGTTCGAGCTTAGGGCTTATGGGGGCTTCGGGCTTGTAGGGTTTAGAGCTTAGGGGGGTTTACGGCTTAGGGTTTGGG